GGGCGTGCGTGAGATCCGAGTGGCGTGCTGCTTCACGCCTCTCCTGCAAGCAGGCCGCTGCTTTCAAGCTGTGTGGAGAATTAGGGTGGGAGGTTTGCGGGTTTAACAGTAATCCTTAATATGCTGAAATCCATTACGTGTGAGCACTGGCCTTATGATACAGGAGAAAGACTGCTACTCTTGGCCTCTTTATCTTCTAAAGTAAATAGTTTGTTAATGGCAGTTGACAGAATAATTGTCGTAGCTGTAAAGATAAGCTTTACGAGCCAGGATCATGTGGTTACTTTGATTGGAATTTTATTTATTTGCAATGAGATGTTGAGCTCTTGGTATCAGCTCAGTCATAAATACAGTGAGTTGGTTATTAAGCCTGTTAGCTATTCTTAGTGGGGCACAGCAATGACCAGTGATAGACATTGCTCTCCCTTGGAGAGTATTTATGCTAAATTACACTTGTTACAGTAGCGAGAGAACTGAACTAAGGTTAAGTTGATCTGTCTTCTGGGCGAATTATTCTATTTCCTTTTACAACGTGATAATTAAGCTGCTCGTGCAGAGGCTTGGAGCAAACATGGCTTTATCTGGTAAGACAGGGTGATTAAAAATGCCCTTATCAGTGGTAATTGTATTACTACAACGCATCTCTACCGCAGTGTCTGATTTTTCATGGTTTTGCCAGGGCATCACATTTTAAGGCTGTTCTAGTCTTTTAATGTAATTTTCCTCTCATGTGGCAGGACTTCTTCACCAAGCGTGAGCATAGAGGTTTTCAAGAGATGTAACTTTCTTCCAGAGAGCACGTTAGAGTAAAATTGGCTAGCCGTTAGAGCACAACAGTTTTACTTGCTTCTCAGCCACACTTGATCAAAACTGGAAATTATAGTCACTTAATGTTTTCAAGGCTCAATCTTGAGGCAGCTGCAGGTACTATTTTGAATTTTTTTCAGGCACGTTTTCTTCAAATCTGTACAACGTTTATTATATTTTTCTGTAGTCTATAAATTGTCCAAAGGGGAAAATCGTCCAAATGGGATGACATACTTTTTAATGCTGCAACTAAAACTAGAAAAAACTCAAAATACACGTTGCCCTAAATCAGACCTAGGTCCACGGGGTGGCAGGTGCTAGCCTGAAGCAGCAATTCCCATCTGAAGATGATGATCCTTTTGAGTACTTTGAGTCTTGCTTTGATTCCTTTTTGAGGCTCAGATGGCAAAAAAACCATTTCTCTCTGACTTGTCTTGCCAGTAAATCTTGCCAAAGATCTTTGTGAGGCAGTCATGTGGATAGCTTTATACTGCTTAAATGGCAATCTAGTTTGCATACTGCTTGATAAAGAAATTGAGAAATAAAACTAAAAGTAAAGAAAGCATGTTGAAATCCCCAAGGTCACTTCAGTAGCGACTCTCAAAACATCTCTTCGATATGTTTTGTCTTATTTTTCCTCAGAACAATGCTAAGGTAGCAGTGCTTGGGGCCTCTGGA